CTCGGCTCAGGGCCCGAAGCCAGCAGCGTGGGAACAACGGGAAGCGGGGTGACTCACAGACCTGCTTCCCCCACCCGCGTTCTGGAAGACAGAGCCGGGGGGACCCAGCCGAGGTCTGCAGGGAAGCCAGGGGCCTGAGCCGAGCTCAGCCAGCCATGGGGAGCTCACTGACATTGGAGGGAGTTTTAGGAGCTTGAGGCCATGGGCAGAGCCCGTCGCAGAGGGTGCGGGCAGGCAAGGAAAGGAGAGAGAACTGAGGGAGGGCCCAGGAGAGGAGCTTTTTCTCGGGCAGGTGCCCACTAGCTACCGGCCAGACTCAAGAGGGTGGCAGCTTCAGGACCTACCGAGGATGAAACCTCTGGCCAGCAGGGGGCCATGAAGGAGGGTGTCCGATCAACTGTCCTCATGAGAGCACTGACCCTGCGCTATCACCTGTTGTGCGCCCACCATGAGCCAGGCCTAAGTGGTGAACACCTGGGGGAAGGCAGCAGAAGACCCAAGGGCTCAGGGGTTGGCTGGGGAGGTGGGGGGGTGAGACAGGTGGGCAGGCACTCAGAGGCAGGGCCACACAAGTGGCAGCCTGACCTGCCAGCCCTGGGGGATCAAACCCAACAAGAGTGGAGGAGCACTTGGAACATTTTGGTCTGAGGGGCCCTGCTTCAGGGTGTTGACATCTTCCAGCCGTGGTCCTGACCCTCCCACGTCCCCTCATCTTCTCTGCTCTGCACTGAACCAGGCCCCAGTAGATTCAGGTCCACCGTCCCTCTGGAGGACCACAGCTGTCTCCCGCCAGGATTACTGCGGCCCCCTCCTCGCTGGGCTCCCTGCTCTGCAGCAGTCCCAGGTCCCTCCCTGGCCTTGGAGGCTCTTTACAGTCAGGACTCTACCTGTGTCTCCAGCCCCATCTCCCCCTCTTTCACCCTGCTGGCCACGTGGGCCCTCCCACAGCTCCTGGTCAGGGTTCCATCTCTCTCACTCATTCACATTCTGTACTGGAAAGCTCCCTCCGTGCTTAGTTCCAGCTCTTCTTTCAGAGCTCAGTGAGAGAGTCACCTCCTTCAGGAAGTCCTCCAGGGCCCTTGGTCTAGGTCAGATTACTCTATCGTAAATCTCTGTCTCGCAACCACACAGACATTTCCTCTACACGTTCATCAGGGCCTAGAATCACACATGCGTTGGTAACCTGTTTAGTAATGGGGCTGTCTGGCACAGCATGAATCGGTGCCTGATGAGCAGATTATGACGGAGTTTTTGTCCCACCAGATGACAAAACCTGCGAGAGGAGGGACCACTCTTGGTTTGGCCTTCCCCAGAGCCTGATCCAACAACAGACACCAAATACAGGCTTATGTTTGGTCACTGAATGGAGGGGGACAAGGAGTCTGATGCTGGGAGCATTCTTTAGCTTTAGGTTTCAATGTTAAGAGTTCTAATTTAGGTCAAATAAATGTCACTGACCAGGCCCAGCTCTGGCCTTGGGATGGCAGGGACAGGGTGTCTTGCTCTCAGTCACCAATAGCAAGAAGTACCGATTTCCCAGAAATGCGTGACCTTCAACGTGGGGAGTGGAAATGCTGGGACCCAGGCCCCCCTGCCTGCAGACACTCTCTTGACTTTCCCAAAGGTGGCTTTCACGATGGAATTTTGCTTCTTGCTGTCAACCCACCTGGATGCACGCAGGCTGCTTCATCCTGCCGGTGGCTGAGGATGCATCTGTGGCCAGCAGGTGCAGGCTAGAGCACCAGATCACAAGTGACAGGTAGTTTTGTACAGGGTAAAAGTCACAACTTTTTCCCACGGCCAATTTGTAAGTCTCATCTTCTGCCGCCGTGATTTACCGACCGCGGGGTCACACATCCTCCAGCCGGAAGGAAATGAGATGGCGTCTCCTGTGTCCTCTGCTACCTGAGCTAATGCGGCTCTGTCCTCTGGCTGCCTGAACTCAAGGGTTTCCTCTGCCTTTGGGCAGCCTTTTCCCAGGAGGGAGGGGACACAGCTGCTCTGGCGTCAGACGAGCTTTGGCGGTGGCTCCAAAGACAGTGCCAGGGAGCCTACAGTCACCACGCTGTTAGCACGCTGTCGCCTGTCCCCAGCAAACATCCCCAGGCTCCCAGATACTGTGGCCACATACACGTCCAGACAGTCATTCTTGATTGCTTTTTTATGTCTCGTCCCGTGTCACAGTCACATTGATCTCCTTGGGCCAGCACTACATAAATCTCCTGTTTATAACTCATTACCTTCTGATTAACTGAAAGGCTGGGTACTTGTTTCACAGTGTTTACTGACTCTAATTGCCATAGTTATTCATGAAAGAGCTACCATAATCCTTTGTCCACTTTCTTGCCCATATGCTCCCTCCAAGCTCCATGTTTCTCCCACATGGTTGCCACACATGGGTAAACCAGGGAGGTGTGGAAGGTATGGCTAAGACAGGTGTCTGAGACTCTAGGCCGGGCAGCAGGCAAGAGATTGGGTATCACACCTTCCCCCATCATTCCCCCAAAGACCCCAGTGCCTATTGCATGTGCCTTCAACCAGATGCATCAGTTAGCAATGAATAAAACTCCCATCTCTTTGATCGGCACAACCACAAATAGCCTATCCGGCCACCACTGACACCAACCAGAGTAATGAGCAGAGAAGCAGCCTGCACGGCATTTCCAATCAGGAGAATCTGATGTTCCTCCTTCAGAAGGTAAATTCTGAGATGAGCCCACCAGGCATATTTTCCCAACAACCATAAGGAAAAAAAAAAAAAGTAGTTACTGAACTTTCTCAGACTTATTAGCTTTCATAAACAGAGATTTGAATAAATGTTTAAAAAATGAAATTCCCTTGATACTCTGTAATCAGTAAATGTTCATTATGGAAACACAGCAAATATGCATGAAATTTCCCAAGTGATATTCTGGCTACAAGATTAAAAAGCCATCTCCAACTGCAGGCTGAGTTACAGAGCATACTCCTCCGGTCACCATTCAGGACAACTCTGCGAAGCCCAACAGGTCAGACGAGGCTGTTTCTTTCCTAGTGGAAGCAGGGAAAATCAGAAGATGCTCCCTTTTGCCTGCTCAGGCAATTTGGAAGTGAGCCCCTCCCCCCACTGATTGATTGATGTCTCTCTATAAATAATTAATCCTTGACCTTGCTTTAAGAAAGCCTTCACTTTTTAATTTGGGGTCTTTTTAAAAATCAATACTGGGGGAACATAATTCACTCTCGCGGAGTCTGATTCCAGGTAAATAAATAAATATGCTGTGCCTTCCCTCTGTCCCAGGGTGAAAGGGCCAGGCAATGGATGGGGTCAGGCTTTGCGGGGGCTTTTTTTCTATTCAACTGCTACTGGAGTATCGATCATCCTATGAGGCTCAATTCTCTTCAGAGTCTGAATGTTATTCCTCCTTTGGGTCACTTCACAGAGGCAAGTCTGACCAAGTCTTTGGAATGTGCTTCATGCTGGCCAAGGGCGCCCCACAACATGTCCTGCCATATGCAGTGGGCTATCTGGATTAAAACAGGGCCTCCTCCAGGGGCCAGAATGTCACCCTTCCTGGTGGCCTGTCTGCCTTGCTTTTGGGACAGGAGCAGAGGGTGGCTAGGAGAGGCTATGGCAGCTGGGAAATTTTAAAGAGGGCTCTGCCATTCTTGCCTGGAGGCTGCACTGTTCTAGGGCTGGACTTAGGGAAAGTTCTCCACCCCATGGGCAAGGGTCAAGGTGAACTCAGATCTGAGAGATCAGCGGAAGGAAGGGGTCTTGGTAGTGCAGCTTGTAAGCAGCCCAGGGATGGGAAAGGGGCTTGTCTGCCCCTAACCCCTCCTGCAACCACCACTCCTCCCACACTGGTCCCTTCACGCACTGGCCTCTCCTTCAGGCTCCGCTGCCAGGCCAGACTGCGGCCAAGCAAAGACAGAGGGCCCAGCCCGCTTCATTTAGCAGAGCCAATCACGGCCCAGGCTCCAGCTGGGAGGGGGCCCAAGGACCAGGGTCCACCACACTATCGGAGACCGCTAAGGGACAAGGAATCCCAGGGTTGGCCCCTACTTTTCAGCTAGGACAGACAGCCGGGCAGCGAGTGCCCACAGCCCAGGGCGCTGGGTGGTTGCTGCCAGCTCCAGGTCGGGGTCGCAGGGCCTGGAGCCCTAAATGTACCGCCAAAGTTAGGGGAAGAGACAGGGGTCACCTGCGACACAAGCGCCAGCCCTGGCACAACTAAATCCCGCGAACGCGCCTTGGCCTGGCGGGGACGGCCTCGGGCGAGGCCAGAGCCGGTCGCAGAACTAGAAGCCAGCAGCCGGAGCCGCAGCCGCTGCCGGAGCTCGGCTGGGTCCCGCGGCAAAGCGGCTCCTTTCACCGCCCACTCCCGGGCTCCTGCACTACCGCACTCCTGGACACGCGCACGCACACACCTTCACAGGATCACTGACGCACACGCACTCTCCTTGAGTACAAAACAGGCTGGTGCCCCGGAGAGCGGCGGGGTGAGAATGCGCGCAAATGGAACGCGAGGGCACCTTCCGCCGTAGCGTAGGAAGCCAAGAAGGTAGCCTCTAACTCCTCCCTCGGGCCTCCCCGTCACAACCTGTCCCCGAGTCCCCGTCCCCAGCGCGCGGGAAAGCTCGGGGCGCCCCCGGGCTCCCGCACGGCTCTCTCCGGGGCCGACGCTGCCTCCCCGCGCCCAGCATCCAGGGCGAAGAAGAGGAGCGGAGGATCCGCAGGGACCGAGTTGAGCCCGCGGGGTGACAGTTCACAGACGCGCGGCGACAAGCAAAATCCAAGGAGCAAAAGTCTAATTAAAGTTCCCGCTACTGGAGCCAATCCCCAAAGTGCGGCCAGACTGGAACCCCGAGCGCTCTATCCCCGCCCGCGGCTTGGAACTCTCACCGCGTCGTTTCTCCGGGCTTCTCAGGGCTGGGGCGCAGTGCAGTCCCGGGGGACCCTTCGGGGCGCCGCTCCCGGCGGGAGCCGGCACAGGGCGGGGACGGGGTGGGGCACTTACCTGGCGCAGCCGGCGATTTCGGGGCCGCGGGAGGCTCCAGCCCCGGCGCGGTCCTCCACTGCGAATCCTCCGTTCCGGGGCGCCCGGGCTGCAGGACCTCCGCCCCGGCTCGGGCCCGGCGTCTCCTCCTGCTCCGAGCGAAGCCCCGTGCGGTCGGCGAGGCGACAGGCGCGGGGCCGGCCACCGGAGCGCGCAGAAGAGGGAGAGGGCACGGCGGCGTGTTCCTCCTCTGTCCCCGGCTCCGGTCCGCCCCCCTCCCGCCTCCCGCCGCCGTCGTCTCCTCTCCTCACAGCGCCGCTGGATCCGGTTCTCGCGCCAGGAAGGCTCCCAGCGAAGTGCGAGCGGAGCCTCCGGCGAGGATGGAAATAGCGCCGCGCCCGCCCGGCGCCCCGCCCCCGGCCTGGGCCCCGCCCCGCGGTGGTGGCGGCCGCGGCGGTGGCCGGGTCGGGAGGGGATCTCACCTCAATCGCCTCTTCCCTCCTGGGAGCTCACGGGCGCCGCGCCCACGCGCGCTCTCCGACTCCCGCGGCCCCACGGGCGGCGAAGCTGGGAGGGAGACGCCGCTGGGCGCGGTCCGGCGGCCCCGGGGGTGGGGGTGGGGGTGGGGATGCCCCGGGCGGCGCCGGTCTCCCAGCCTCCCCCTGAGCCGGACTCTGGGCGGCCACTTGGCTCCAGACCGCGGCCGGAGCGCTGCCTCTGCCTCTATGGGTCGCACGCCGGCGCGGACCCGGGAAGAGGACAAGGCGTCACCAGAGCGGGCCGTGACCGCAGCTGGGCAGGAGGGCGCGCCTAGGACCCGACGTTGCGGGGGCGCCGGGGCGGCGGAACGCAGAGGCTAGGTCCGAGGATAGTGAGACTGGGCTACAACCTCGGTGGGTTTCAGTCGAGGTCTTGGGCAGCCTTGAGCGCTGTGTCCGCATGGATCCCCAAATTCCTGGGGCTCTGGATTCAGCTGAAAGTGCCCCAGGCTTTCCCTTGAAGGCTATCTCCTTGAAGTCCCTGCTGTGTCAGGGCGTAGGGGTCAGCCTGGGTCCACCAACGCCTCTGCCTACACACCCTACAATAACAAGTGGACACGTGACATATCCATAGCCACACAACCCCGGCGCAGAGCAGGGAGGCAGAGGGAGTCGGTGGGGCTTCTGATTCTTGTCCTTGTTCTTTAGAAGAAGCGGCAGCCCCCACCTGCAGGGGGCAAGCAGGTGCCAGGAGGGAAAGCAGGCTGGCTTTCACAGAAACTGTATGAAACTGTAAATCAGTCACCTCTTCATCTTGAAGGGATGCCCAGTATTTTCAGAAACCTTTAGGAAAATAAAGTGAAGGATGTTCACCCTCCTCTCATGTTATCTGCTGATAGGCTACCTTGATCTCCCTTAGTTTCTGCAACAACAAAGCAGGCGTTATTATTCCTGTTTTATAGAGGAGGAAACTGAGGTACAAGTTTGGCCCCAATGTCAGGGAAAGCAAGGCCGTTCAGTCACTCAGTCATGTCTGACTCTTTGCAACCCCATAGACTATAGCACACCAGGCCTGCCTGTCCGTCACCAACTCCTGTAGCTTGCTCAAACTCATGTCCATCAGGGTCTTTTCCAATGAATCAATTCTTCGCATCAGATGGCCAAAGTATTGGAGCTTCAGCTTCAGCATCAGTCCTTCCAATGAATAGTCAGGACTGATTTCCTTTAGGATTGACTGGTTTGATCTCCTTGCAGTCCAAGGAGAGCAGGACAGTAGTGTCTTTATCCATCCCATGAGCAAAAGCTATCGGAACAGAGCAAAAGGGAAGATGGCAAGGAGGAGGGCTATGGTTGTTGGTGAAGTGAGCAGAAAGCTACTTGCCCGAGGAGGAGCCGAGTGCACTGCCCCATCCCATCCCCTGTGCCCTTCCTGCCTACAGCTCCAGTCTCCTCTCACCGCCTGGTGAGAGGTCCTGGCTGTGCAGCTGGGCTGGTTACTGAAGAAGCCTGGTGGTCAAGGGAACCTCTTCAGTGCCATGCACACTCACTCAGACACACACACACACACACACACACACACACACACACACACACACACACACACAACTGGGCAGTGGGGAAAGGATGCAGAGCGGAGTTTCTGTCCCCTGACCCCAGCCCTGCAGCCAGGAAGAGGCTCTGGACCACAAGTGTTTCCACTGGATGAGTCTACACAAGCTCTGCCTCCACAGGACATGTCTGCACAGAGTTTTCCCTGGGCCAGGCCAGGCGTGAGTGTGGCTGGTCAGGCTGTCTCGGCTGCCCTGTGCATCTACGCACAGTGATCCAACTGGGAAGGACGGTTTTTCCATTAGCTTTTCCCACTGTACTTATTAGCACTTATTTGCATCTAATATTCAGGCAGACCCGCCAAGAATCAACAATGCTGCATTCCTTTGATATACGCTACACGTTCAGTTTTGCACTCAGACTTCTTTCTGGTTTCTAGAGGCCCTCAGGAAAATCCCCAAAGGGGGTCTGCCATCCCGGGCACCAATGTACACTGAGTTATCCTCCTCGGGGTTTGCCTCGGACTGCATGCCCTTTTTTGAAAGTCAGGCTCGGCCTCTGCAGCAAGGAAGATGGAGAGATGCTGCAAAGCCGGCATGGAGCCCTGTGCGCACTTACGGTTCTTGATATGTGTGTCTCCACTGAAAGATCAGTGGCAAACTGGTTCCTCTGCATCTCAACTAAGGGAAAAGGACATATGCACTAGATGGCCTCCTGAGTCCACATCCCAGGCCCCAGGAGAGAAAACAAAGGCTCGGGAGGTCCTCTGTTGCCACCAAAGGTGTGGGTGCAGGAGGGGGCCTGTGCAGCTTTGGCTGAGTGCAGCGGGCAAATCACCTCTTCCCTGCTGGGCCCCAGACCATTCCCTAGAGCAGCAGAGATCCTTGTGGCCTTGGGGCGGGGAGCTGAAGGCAGCACAGTGGGGGATGCACTTTGTGTTTGATGCAGGGCGTGGAAGCCCACAGGTAGGACTGAATCCTTAGTCCTAAACCCTCCATTCTGTTGCAATGAGAATCGACAGGGCAGGCAGAGGGAGGCAGAGGGAAGCCATCTGGAATGGCAGGTCTAGGAGTACCCGTTTCTGTTATCCTGTGGGAGAAAGACGAGAATGATGGGATGGACCGGGGGCCTGTCTCAGCTCTCCAATTACTGGCTGGGTGGCCTTGAGTGCATCTCCTAGCCCTTCCCTGAAGCTCTGATACTTTTGGCCAGCTGCTGCGAAGAGCCGACTCATTGGGAAAGACTGAGAAAGATGAGAGAGGGAGGAGAAGGGGTCGACAGAGGATGAGAAGGTTGGATGGCATCACCGACTCAGTGGGCATGAGTGTGAGCAAACTCGTGGAGATAGTGAAGGACAGGGTAGCCTGGGGCACTGCAGTCCATGGTGTCTCAAAGAGTCAGACATGACTTATCGACTGAACAACAACAACCCTTCCCAGTCTGTTTCTTCATTAGCAAAATGAACAATAGATGCCACCCTGCTGTAGGGCAGCAGGGTTTCACAGATGAGGTGAAGGATGGAAAAGCATTTTGGAAAATGGAATCCATGGCTGGCCTGCTCTGAATCACACTTAGAGCAGCTACCTTAGGGCTTTGGTGTCCAGCATCTGGCCCTAATGTCGTTGTTGGTGGTGGTTTGTTGCCAAGTCACTTTTGCAACCCCATGGACTATAGCCCACCAGGTTCCTCTGTCCATGGGATTTCCCAGGCAAGAATACTAGAGTAGGTTGCTATTTTCTTCTCCAGGGGATCTTCCCGACCCAGGGATGGATCCTGTGTCTCCTGCTTTGGCAGATGGATTCTTTACACTGAGCCACCAGGGAAGCTCTACGCTGGTCTCTAAAATATCTGACCCCAGCGTTTCCCAAAGTCAGTTCAACACACCTCTGACATGCTGATTTGAGCACCATTTAGATGAGAGACTCTCTCTTGGGGACCTCGCTGCTTCCCAGCGGCTCTGAGATGGTGGCCAAGCCTCCTCCCAACCTCACAGCCCCATTTGAACAGTGAGGCGGGGGCGGGGGGGGGGCAGTTCAGGCTCTTGAGGCCCCTCCAGGCCCAAGCTGTGATTTCACAGTTCCTAAAATTTCCTCACCTGGAAGGGAGACCCAGAGATGCCTTTGGCTACCCGGGATCTTGTCAGATGAATGCCTCTTCCCTGCCCTTTTCCTCCACTTCCCATGACCTTTCTCCTTTTCTGTCCCCTCTTTGGTTTCTGAGGAGCTGGAAGAAATGGGTTGCTCTGTTCCCTTCTATGTTGAATGGCCTGAAATTCCCTGAATGTCAGAGTGCCTGTGTGAAAGTGGGCTGCATTAGCAATGTTGTTGGGGTTCCAGGCACCCACACATCCCAGATACCTGCTATAATTTCTCAAAACTCACCATCATAAGAACAGTTTCTTTGTAAGATTTTTTTTTTTTTTTGGCTGCACTGAGTCTTAGGTGCCCGATGTGGGATCTTAGTTGCAAGTTGCAGGATCTAATTCCCTGCCCAGGGATCAGACCCAGACTCCTCTGCATTGGGAGCTTGGAGACTTAATGGCTGGACCACCAGGGAAGTAACATACAGTTCCTTTTTAAAGAGCAACTTTCTGGGTCAGACTAATGTGACACCAGTGTTTGTCGCTAACACAATGAGAGTGGGGGAACAGAAAAGGTGTGCTGAGTACAACACAGCAGAAACTGACTGTGGTTAACTTAAGTAACAAAGGAGGGCTTCTTGAAAGGACATTGGGGGTCTCAGAGCAGCGGCAGAGCCTAGCATCTGGGAGGGAGGAGGGCAGCTACCAGCGCAGAGGGTTAGAGGACTCTTGGGGTCTCCAGGGAGGGATACCCGGCTTTCCATCTAATATCCATGCATCCGCAGATAGATTTTTGTTGACTCCAGAGTCTAAGAAGAAGCCAGATGCAAGTCCATGTCCAGCCCATCCGTGCAAACTGGGCTCAGAGCCAGCCTGGTTTCTCTCTTGAGGTCTTGCCAATTTCAAGTTCATTCTGGTGCTTCTTAATTAAAAAAAAAAAAAAAACACTATGGAGCTAGTCTGCTGCTGGTCACTCCTTGAGTTCCCACGAATCTTTAAGCCCCACCATCCTCTGATGGTCTGCGTATGGTGGAGAGGGGACATCGTTGAAGAGGGTGATTAACTGCAGGAGAGGATCCAATAGACCCTGAATATAAATGGTGGAGATTTTTCTTCATACTTTGGGATGAAAAGTATAAAATTCTAGACTATTTATGTGTCATAACTCATAAATGCGATTTAATTTGGACCAAGCAAATTCAGCCTTCACATCATGTGGGCTGAGTTGAAGTTTACTTGTTTGGTGTCAAAGTTAACGGGAATGGGGTGGTAGGGAGCACGTCTCCCCTACCTTGGAAGATAAACGGGCCTTGA